GTGCATGGAGAGTCACTAAGTTTGTTGTATAAGGTTGTATTTGGGGGGGGTTCTGTTTGTCATTTTATACCATATTGTTTCTTTTCGGGTTGATCAACCAAACTATTATCTACTTTGTTTGCAAAGTCATACCATCATGAAAATATTGATAAGTTAACCCTCTCGGATCACTTGGAGGTTTATCTTGGACAGTATGCTCCTTTGAAGGAGGCCGATGCTCAGCTAGGGCAATTCCTTGTTTGATTGACTTATATGTATTTTGCGAAAAACAAAGTTAGTAATATATATATATATATATATATATATATATATTCTTTTTAATGATCAGGGTTGTTGTATACATAAATTACATTCGTACTGAATAATTAACATTTTCAAATATTTAGATTTGACCTTTTTCATTTTTGTTGTTCTCCTTTCAATTGCTACTATATATGTGGTGTTTGTATTGGAAAAGCAAATAAAAGAGACAACACACAAAACACATATGATGTGAAAGTTGAAACCAATAAAATAAAGCCCCTTCAAACAGAAATAGTGAAGCCAATTGTCCGAATGAATTTAGCCAATTGGATTATGATATGGGTTAAAGCTCATTTTTTAATGATCAGGGTTGTTGTATATATAAATTACATTTGGACTGACTAATTAACATTTTCAAATATTTAGATTTGACCTTTTTCGTTTTTGTTGTTCTCCTTTCAATTGCTACTATATATATGGTGTTTGTATTGGAAAAGCAAATAAAAGAGACAACACACAAAACACATATGCTGTGAAAGTTGAAACCAATAAAATAAAGCCCCTTCAAACAGAAATAGTGAAGCCAATTGTCCGAATGAATTTAGCCAATTGGATTATGATATGGGTTAAAGCTCATTGTTGTTTAGGTTTTGCTTGACCACAGTAGGTTCTTACCTTTAGCCAGCTTTGTCTACCATGTGTGGTGGAAGGAGAGGAACAACCATCTTTCGAAACAAATCTTCACCTCCATTGAAAACCTTGAATATCATTGTTGACTCAATTCGACTACGTTGTTGTTATTGTTTTTTTTTTTTTTTTTTTTTTTAATCGGGATTATCCGGGTTTTGCGGTGACTAAACTATGAGATTCGTGTAAGTCATCTCTACACACGGATAGGGTAAAGTCAGACTATGTCTGCAAGTGTGGTCCATAAAAAATTGTTTGCATCTAAGATGAATTAATTATGAGACCTAATGTTTCATGAGACTCCACAATCTATGTCTTTTTTAACTAGGCCAACCTTTTAGGAGTTTTTTTTATTTATTTATTGAGATCTGATCATTACTTTCAATTCGTGCATGAGAGTTAACAGTAAGTGGGGATTAGAGGGAAGAAGATTCACACTTAAAATCATAAGGGGATGAAACTTAAGACTTGACCCTTTAATTCGATTCAGGTTATTTTGCATCAAACGTTGCAAATGCCCAATGGCTGAAACCATGGCCTCTGAATGAAATTTTCCAACATCCTTCTTGGATTCGAGACAAAATCTCTTTTTCTCCTTCACCTAATCATGAATATAACTATGCACACTACCTAAACATGGAAAACATGGAAATAGTAAAACAATGTAAAATTTTCTATGAGCAAATAGTATTAAAGAGAAAGGAAAATTTTCATATCATCATTTAGATCAACATCAATAGCAACAATTATACGAAAATATTAAAAACATCTTTCTCGTATCAAAATTATATCCATTAGAGTTTTACTTGAAGTACTTGAAATTTTAATTAATTACATTTGTTAGATCTTAATTTGAGAACATGTAAATACTTTTTTTTAACCCTCATGTTGTGGTAAAAAAATAAAAAAAGTAAATATGTCCGGACACAATTGTATGAGTTCTTACGTGTGATATTTTCATAAGTTATAAAATAATATGGAATTGATAATAATTAGTTGTTTAATATAAATATAATAATGTATTATATATTTTTAAAAATATAACACATAACCATTAATGTTAATATGGACATGTGAAATAAATCATTGCATTGTTTCTCAAATATAGTGTTCTTGATTCAGTAATTAAAAATATATTTACAAATACTTGTGGTTGGCAAAAAAAAAAGATAAATAATATAAAAGGTGATGTAAGAAGCTTATGATCGTAAAAATATAAAATTAAAGGTCAAGGAAAAAAATTAAAAGAAAAACTTCTTCTAATATTCGAATCAATGAAACCAACTTGATAAAAAAATACCGTGTGTTTATACTCCACTTTGCTTCTTTAAAGACTCGAATTTTCACTGTTTATTTTGGAGATAGAAGAGATATCACTAAGTCACAAAGACCCTTAATAAGAACAAACCAACTTGATATAGCAACAAAGGAGATACTGCCATTAGAGTAATAAAAAATTAGAACATGGACATGCCAGATTAAAGAAAAAAAAAAAAAAAAAAAAAATCACACATGTATATATATATATATATATATAGAGAGAGAGAGAGAGAGAAATCACACATGTATATATATATATATATAGAGAGAGAGAGAGAGAGAGAGAGAGAGAGAGAGAGTAAATACACATCTTAGGCCAACCACAACAGCTTTTGTAAAATTTTGCTCTATAAATTAGCCACCTTAACTTTTCCAAAAATCATATCAGTTTTTTTAAGATCCACGTAGGCAACTTCTGCTCTCTAAATTTTGATGTTGCAACAGTCTCTTTGACTTTTTGCTCTTGAAAAATAATAATTTTTTTTTTTTAACCAACGATTATATTTTAACGACTATCACGCAAGTACCAATCATTTTTTTTTTTTTTCCTTTTACCAACGCCTATATTTTGTATCAGCCAAACAGTGTTTTAACGATTACATTAGCACATTTAAATAAAATAAAAAAAAAGTAAAAAAAAAAAAAAATTATTTTTTAGAAAAACAAATAAAGAAAAAGGAATGCACCCCCAACAAATGTGTGAAACAAACAATTGTACATATGGTACATGACTTCAAATAAAAAAACATAGAAAAAAAAGGCTTTCATTGCTTGCCATGCCCCTTGCTAAATACGACGAGGCCTTTAACAATCGCAAGAACGGGCCCACCATAGGCGCTGCACAACCGAACTCATCCCTTCTCACCAAAGAAGGCCTTTGGCGTTACCACTGCAGATGACCTTAACGACACAAATACAATCCATTGCCTCTTCTACACCTCTCCGTATGATTATGCATATATATAATTAATTTGTGTAAAACTTGTGTATATAAATAATTAGTTTGTATTTAATAAAAAAGAAGGAACTACAAAGAAAAATTATAATAAAAAAACATTTAATTGGAACCAATAATCACCTACACATAACTAATATATTAAGAAGAAAAAAAAAAAGTCAAATCGAACCTTTGTGTAAAGCATGACCTTCAATTAAGCATAATAGAGAAAAACCCAGAAACTCCGTCGCGAAACTAACGAAGAAAAATCCTAACAATAAAAGACTTTGCTTATTAGTATATTTTATTATACTACTTATAAATTAACGATTTAAAACAGCTCAACACCACCTTGTACTTTTAATAATAGTATATATATATTTACATGTATTGGGTAAATTAGTACCCCGCCCAAAAAAAAAAAAATTAAGATAAATATTGGGTACACAACTGCATAGTGTTGTGATTTTTACCTTATAGTTAACTATGAGAGGGCAGCTTTGGATATACAACTGCATAGATTTACTTTATGCTATGTTTAGTTGTATGGAATTGATTTGTTGAATTGAAATTAGAGAAATTTTAGTTCAAAACTTTTAGTATGCTATATATGGAATTTATGAATTGAAATTGAAATTGAAATTGAAATTAAAATTAAAAAAAATTTAGTTCAAAACTTTTATTATATTATGCATGGAATTGATCTATTGAAATTAAAATTAAAGAAAATTTATGTGATGTATAATCTTAGTAAAGAAAAGTGAGGACAAGTTACTATAATGACAAAAGAATGGGTGCGTGACTTTGTTAGTTGTCCACTCATCCTCGTCATCTTAATCACATATTTAAAGAAGTCTGTAATATGAACTCTCTTTCAACTATTTTTTTATTACATGTCAATTTATTTAATATTTAATTTTTTAAAAATTGTTTTTCATAATCGCATATCACACTTCATTTAAAGTCCATCAATTTGTATTTATGTGATAGAAGGATAATGTCATTGATCACGTGAACTAACTCTGTAACCCTCAATCATTTTCTATTCCATATTTCCTGAAAATGGGACCAATCACTCTTATAAAATCAAGGCCGTTAAGTATTGTTGTTGACTAAAAAACTAATAGTACCCTTCCAATTAAACCTTCCATGTTCAGACCAATCTACCTTTATGCCCTTTTCTTCTCCATAGATAATTACTGTGACAAACATATGAAATATATATAATACAAACTCACACTTCACATTTATTTCAAAAGTGTAAACTCCATTTTTAAGATGTAATTACATCATTTCCGTTATTAAAGGTACAGTAGAGTGCGAGATGAAGTAAGTATTACATTCTTCAATAAAAATTCAAAGAATAACATATTGAAAAATCCTCTTAATTATGCTTAAAAAATACATATATTGTTATACTATATATGGCGTGCTTAAATGAGTATTGTTTTTTTTTTTTTTTCTAATGAGAAAAACATAATAAAATAAAACATTTTCTCTCTTTTTTTTATTTATTTAATGACAAATTAAGAAAGAGGAGACCCAAATACAAATACACTCGTTCGAAAAGTTGAGCGGTAGAAAATGCCCATCCATTTTTCTCTCTTACACAATTATATATATGTACTTAAAATTTTAAAAGTAACCAAACAAAAATTAAGGAGACAATGAGTTTAGTAGTCTATTTAAAAACAAAGGGCAATTTTATATATAAAAGTCCAACCTTATGTCCTATGCTTCTTCCTAGAAACCAATCATCCAAATCCTCCATCTCCATATTTAATCTTCCCCTCTTCAGCCTTCACCTCCCCATCTCTCATCCATTGAAAAAAAAAAAGAAAAAAAAGAAAAGGATGGACAGAGAACAAGAAGAAATGCAATTCCTAGGCCCTTTTGGCATCTGCAGAGAAGCCTACAAGATCATCATCTCATGGAGGAAGATCTTCACCAAAATCACTCTAGCTTTGATCCTCCCACTCTCCTTCATCCTCCTAGCTCACATCAAATTCTCTGAATTACTCACATCTAGGATCATACACAACCAAGCCATGTTAGGAGAAGCACAAATCGGCACGCAGAGGTACAACAAGCTCTCCCCTCTCATATCATCCGAACACACTACCTATTGGCTATTCCAACTTGGATATATCATCTCACTCTTCATCTTCTCCTTCCTCTCCACTTCTGCTGTGGTCTACACCATTGCATGCATTTACACGGGTCGCGAAGTGACCTTCAAGAAGGTCATGAGTGTCGTCCCAAAGGTTTGGAAGAGACTCGTGCTCACTTTCTTGTCCACGGTCTTGGCTTTCTTTGCTTATTCCCTAGTTTTCACAATAATCACAATCTTATGTGCATTCTTATGGGCACACACAGCTGGTACTGCTAGTGTTAGTATAAGTCTTCATACCACTGTGGTGATTTTCTTCATTATACTGATCATATATGGTTTAGGGGCTTTGTATATGATCATTATTTGGCAGTTGGCTAGCGCGGTGTCTGTGTTAGAAGACTCCTATGGGTTTAAGGCCCTGGTGAAGAGCAAGAACCTCATAAAAGGAAAGATGTGGGTGGCTTTAATTATCTTTTTGATGTTAAATTTCTCATCCTTTGTTATATATACACCTTTTCAAAAGTTTGTTGTCCATGGAGAGTCCCAAAGTTTGTTGTATAAGGTTGGATTTGGGATGTTGTTTTTGTCATTGCAATCCATGTTGTGTCTTTTCGGGTTGATCGTCCAAACTGTTATCTACTTTGTGTGCAAGTCATACCACCATGAAAATATTAATAAGTCGGTCCTCTCGGATCACTTGGAAGTTTATCATGGAGAGTATGCTCCTTTGAAGAAAACGGATGTTCCGCTAGGGCAATTCCAAGTTTGATCAGCGCATATATATGTTTGGTTAAAAAGTTTGTAATAGTTGATGTTTATGGGTTGTAATGTATCAATTACAATATTTGTACTTTATTTTACATGGTTTATAAACATTTTCAACCACTTAGATTTGGCCCTTTAATTTTTGTCATTCTCCTTCTAATTGCTGCTTTCTTTTATATATATATACACCTTTTGTTGGAAAAGGAAATGAAAGAAAGACACACATACACAACACATGCATATGATCAATTGAAAGTTGAAACTAATAAAATAAAGCCCCCTTCTAATAGAAATGGAGAATCCAATATTATGAATGAATATAATTGAGCCAATTGGATTTTGACATTATTGTTTAGGGTCTTGCTTCACCAAACTTCTTACTTTCACTTTTATGTATGGGATAAAAAATACAAGGATATAATAATATTGGAGTATATTTTTGTCTGAATAAAGTTTGGATCTGTGAGGAGACCACAGTTGCATTATGGAGTAGTTTGACATACAATAAACCACACTACATGCGATAAATCACATAACATCATGTGGATTTATCATTAGACTCGGTGTCATTACTAGAAAAAAAAATATTTCAAATATTTTCTAGTTGCTAGGATCCTGGGAGTAACCTTGTATTTTTTATATCCTTGTATTTTTTATCCCATACATGTGGATTTACCGTTCTGGATGATGTTGGGTTTGGTTTCAATGTTTCTGGGTTCTTCCTTGTGTTCATGGCCTTGGGCCTTGCTGTTGTAGCATAATCTTTGGGCCGCCTGTTGTTGGGCTGATTGGGCTTAAAGGCCATGTACATTCTCATACACATATAATATTATTGCTTAAACATTATAAAAAAAATATGGCCCTAGTAGAGTTCTAAGTCAACCACCACTCTCAATAAAGAAGAAATCATATCATTGGGCTAGAGGCCCTTTGGTAAGACCCTTAATCAAACTCATCAAAGCAACCAACCCTAACATGAGCCCAGTCTCCAAAGAGCCCACACCAACCCAAAACCCCAGCCCAGACAACTCTTAAAGGCAAATATACATAATAAATAAATAAATAGTGAAAAACAACACAAGTGACAGTTAAAATACTTTTTTTCTCCCCCCACAGAGCTTTGACGAAGCAGTTGTGAACTGGAAAAGCCAAATGAATCTGGCGTATAAAAAAAAATATTAGTTACAGAGATGTCAAGTACCACACTTATGAATTCTATTATTCAGCAGCCTCCACTATTGATTAAGTCAATTAGTCAAAGTCATAACAAGACTTAACGGCAGACACTGACGGAATGGATAATTGAATTAGAGGGGAGTCTTTCAACAATAATAATATATAATGGAGTATAATTAGAAATTAAGTGGGGGTATTTTTTAGATTTTTTTTTTTTAAAAAAGTAGGAATAGTTTTAAGATTTTTACAAAATTTATAAATAATTTTGTAAAAATATATATGTATATATATATATAATGAGAATATTTTAGTGTGTATTTTAGTTTGTCCCAACCTCTTGCTGCACCCATCTTCTTTTTTATTTTCTCTACCCTTTCTTTCTGGATTTGATTACCCGTTAAAGATTTCAGGCTAAGGCTTTTTGTTGAAAGAAAGGTGAAAAGAAACATAATGCTATATAAACATTAAACAAGCATGTCCTGCCAATGACGGACCCAGAAAATTTGGTGAGGGGGGGCGAATTTTTAATTTGTGGGTACAAAATTATATGATGGGTTTATTTTTGTAATTTTAGTAGGGTTTTTTTCATAAATTTTTAAAAAATTTAAGTATAAAATGAAAAAAAAAAAATCAGTGGGGCAAATTATAATTATAGTGGGGCATCTTCATAAATTATCAAAATTTGAAGTATAAAATGCTAAAAAAAAAAAAAGAATCCAGTGGGGGCGAATTGTAATTTTAGGGGGGGCATTTTCATAAATTTTAAAAACATTAGGGTATAAAATGAAAATATTAAAAATTCAGGGGGGGCATCTGCCCCCCCTAGTCCCCTGCTGGGTCCGTCCCTGTGTCCTGCAATCAATCTACACATAGCATATATAGAAAATATAGAAAAAAGCAAAGTAGCATTGATATAGCGAGGGGAGGGGCCCATTAAGGCCTGGAGGGGGCACTTGGACCAAAGTATTTAACCAAAGAAATTATCAAAAAAAAAAAATTGTTAGTGGAGACTTTACAAAAGGATTGAACCATGTTACACTTGTTGAAATTCGACAATAAGATACATCTATGGAGGATAAGAGTTTAGAATTTCTTATAAAGATTTTATTATATTGACGGAACAATAGAGTGTTCAACCAAACACTCTCCACCTACAACAATACATTCATTAGATGCATTAAGGTCCCAAAACAATGCATGGGACCAAAGTGTTCGTTGAATGTGTTCAGGTGATGTATATTTAGACCAATTAGTCAGGCATAATGTTACAAAGGGAGTCAGCCACTAGACAAGGAAAATGATTGAATATATATGAATTGTGTATTAAAACCACCTAATTACTTAAATTTTTAATTGAATCAGGAAACATCTGACCCATTGTAATTGGTATCAGAGCTAAACATAATTCTTAATACGATGTCATATCAAATGTGCAATGTAGAGACATCCGAATCTACCATCCAAATAGTCCGAATCTACCATCCAAATAGACATGCCTAATAATTTACCCTTTGGGTTGGCTCCCTTATAATTATTATTTTTAGAATCATTATTCTTTTCTTTGGAAAACCTCAAACCAAAGACTTTACACAACCATTATTCCTTTCTTTGGAAAACCTCAAACCAATGACTTTATACAAGAGTGGGACCACATGGGTTCCATTTTCACGAATGAATGAAAAATGTGATCATGTGTAGTGAGAGTCGCACCAACCAAAAGCGATCGTTTCGTGGAATTGTCATTTTTCTTTCTTTCAGTAATTGCAATGTCTGAATATTCTTGTGTTGATAAATTCGCTTAAACGACCAGTGAACCAGTATTTGCTGCATGGCCTTTTGGAAATAATAGGCTTCTTCTATCATGTATGCCCTTTTCTTGACCATCGATAGTTATTGTGACAAATGTATGAAATATAATATATATATATATATACACACACACACACACAGAGCAAGTGCAACTTGATAGACAAAAGTCCAACCATATTTAATTGATCTTCCCCTCTTCACCTCCCCCATCTCTCTCTTCCATTGAAGAAGAAAATGGAAAAAATTATGGACATGAGAGAAGAAGAAGAAATGAAATCCCTAGGCCTCTTTGGCATCTGTACAGAAGCCTACAAGATCATCCTCTCAGGGAGGAAGATCTTCACCCAAATCACCCTAGCTTTGATCCTCCCACTCTCCGTCATCTTCCTAGCTCACGTCCAAGTCTCCGAATTACTCATGTCTAGGATCATAAAAGATTACCAAGCTGTGATAGAACAACCACAAGCCGGCACACGGGGGTACGAAAAGCTGTACACTCACCTGATATCCGAATGGACAACCTTTTGGCTCTTCAAACTTTCATACACCATCTTCTTCCTCATCTTCTCTCTCCTCTCCACTTTGGCCGTGGTTTACACCATTGCATGCGTTTACACCGCTCGCAAAGTGACCTTCAAGATGGTCATGAGTGTTGTCCCAAAGGTTTGGAATAGACTCATGCTCACTTTGTTGTGCACATTCTTGGCCTTCTTTGCTTATACCATATTTGCATATGGCCTACTTTCAGCAACATTCCTAATCCTGTGGGCGATCAGAATTGGTAGAAGTAACACCCAATTGGTGGTTATCTGCATCATATTGATCATGTATGTTTTAGGGCTTCTGTATATGACCATCGTTTGGCAATTGGCTAGCGCGGTGTCCGTGTTAGAAGACTCCTATGGGTTTAAAGCCATGGTCAAGAGCAAGAACCTCATAAAAGGTAAGATTTGGGTGGCCATGGTTATCTTTTTTATGTTAAATTTCTCATCCTTAGGTATATATACAATTTTTGAAAAGTTTGTTGTGCATGGAGAGTCACTAAGTATGTTGTATAAGGTTGGATTTGGGGGGTTGTGTTTGTCATTGTATACCGTGTTGTTTCTTTTCGGGTTGATCAACCAAACTATTATCTACTTTGTTTGCAAGTCATACAACCATGAAAATATCGATAAGTTAATCCTTTTGGATCACTTAGAGATTTATCTTGGAGAGTATGTTCCCTTGAAGGAGGCCGATTCTCAACCAAGACAATTCCTTGTTTGATCGGCTTATATGTATTTTGCAAAAAAAAGTTAGTAATATATTATTGCTTTTTTGATCTTTATATGATCAGGGTTGTATGTATAAATTACATTTTCAAATATTTAGATTTGGCCTTTTTCATTTTTGTGGTTCTCCTTTCAATTGCTACTATATATACGGTGTTTGTATTGGAAAAGCAAATGAAAGAGACAACACACAGAACACGTGATGTGAAAGTTGAAACCAATAAAATAAAGCCCATTCTAACAGAAATAGTGAAGCCAATTGTCCGAATGAATTAGGCAATTGGATTTTGATATGGGTTAAAGCTCATTGTTGTGTAGGTTTTGCTTGACCACAGTAGGTTCTTACCTTTAGCCAGCTTTGTCTCCCATGTGTGTGTTGGGATTTATATGCCCTGTCATAGCAAATTCCTATTTGGATTAAAGTGACATAAGTTCCTGACGTTTCTGAAATATTTATATTTTATACAATTGGTGAATTCAATGTATTATGTTTCGATTCATTATAAAATTGATAGTGTCCACTTGATTACAAGAGATATTTATATATGTATGTGATGGCGATCAATACATGAATATAAATAATAATCATAAATAGTTCATGGTCGGTAATTATGGATGAACTCATAATTGATTAAGACTTGAACTGGATCTGCGTTAGGTTGAGATATATTGCGAGGGCCGTCGTAAGCAATTGCTCCCTATCACCGTCATAGCATTTGACTCTTAAGCATGAGAAAATTATAAACTCTTTTATTAATTAATAATTACTTTGATTTGTTCGGCGGATTCTTCGGGATCCTTAAACCGACACTTTGGGTAGTTATGTAATTAATAGTTATAGGGTTATATTTTCATTATTTGCATTATTGCTACTTGTATTTATTTTGTATTGATTATGGTTGATCACAAAGTAAATTCGAAGGCCTTCGTATGTTTTTAGACAAAATGATTTATTATATATTTATTTATTTAAATTATTATTTTTGTCAAACAAATGTTTTATTGTGATCGAGCCAGAAATAATCAATGGTACCAAAATAAATATATTAATTAAGTAGTCGGATTGATGGCTTTATTTATCCGATAACTAATTATGCATAGAGGGGTCAAAGTGCAATATTGACTTAATAGTTATTTATTATTTAATTGGAGTTCAATTAATTTCTTTTAGTATAGTAGAAATTAATTTATGAATTAATTGAATTGAGTCCATGGACCAGGCCAATTATTAATTCATTTTAACCAATAAACTAATAGGCCCAATGGATTCTCACTCATAGCTCAACTTGTTATTGGAATCCTATTAGATTTGAGACATGTGAATTAGAGATTGAGAAGGATTTGTTGTTTCCTTTTCTTTATCTTTTTGTTGCCTATAAATATACATGTTCTATGTATATTTTTGGGTGTGATTTTTGGAAGAATGAAAAAGGAATAAATTTTCTCTCTCTAGAAAATTAAGTTTAGTGTTCTCATCTAATGGAGGCTCCCACAAGCCTAGTTTTCCAATGTCATTTATGGAGGCTTATGAGTGATTCCTAAAGGCAAAACCATTACCAAGAAGATGGAGATCCATGAAAAATGTGTCTAGCAAAAGGGATTTACAATAAGTGAGAACATTCACTTTAGAGGAGAGATCTAAAGTTTACTCAAACATTGATGTAAGTATTCAATCTTTTAATTGAATGATACATCATGTTTTATTTTTGCATAAAACTTGTCTCTATGTGATAAATCAAGATCTATGAATTTAAATCCCTCGAAAAGTTTTTAAATATTGCACGTTTCCCAACAGTGGTATCAGAGCATGGTTTGATTCATTATTGAGATCATGTTTTTATCAAAATCATCATCATGGATCCAAATTATATATATATATATATATATTGATGCATGATTTAATATATTGATACATGATGATGTATGTATAATTGTGAATGGATGATGATGTGAGTTTGGGCCATGAATGAAGTTTATAGGTTTATTGAATGTAATTTTCTCTTTGGATGAATGTAATTAAGGCTTTGATTTAGCCGTTTAAAAGTTCAATGATGTAATTTAATTTTTTCTATTGTATTTCAAATTGTAAATATTTTTAAAGCTATGTAATTTTCATCAAAGGATGCTATGAAGCTTCAAGAAGGTCCAAGAGGATTAAATTAGGCGTCAAGAATTTTCTGGAATTTTTTGAAATTTTTCTAGAATTTTTTGAGCTTTATTTAATTTTTCTGGAATTTTTTATTATTTTTCGGCGATTTTCCAGCGAACGGAGATTCACCAGCGGCAAGCACAGGTGCCGGAGTAAGAGCTGGGATCCAGTGCGACGCGAGACCATGCAACCGGATCCACAGCCGCTGGATCAAGGGCTGCAATCAAGTGCAGCACCAATATAATACACCTGGCGCGTGAGGAACACACGCCAGGGTCAACAGGTTGCTGGCGCGTGAGAAGCATGCGCCAGCACAAGCTAACCTCTTCCACGCGCGCGTGTAGGCGCGTGGAAGTGCTCCCACGCGCGTGAAGGTGCGTGGGAGCGCGTGACAGACTCTCCTACCTCCTCCCAGCGCGTGCAGGCGCGTGGGAGCGCGTGACACGAGCTGGTAACCTCCAGAAACGCGTGCAAGTGCATCAGATGAGTTTTGAGGCGTCCAATTGTATCCGGTGGCGCGTGGGATCGAATTACAGCCTCTTGCAGGTGTATACAAGCCTTTGATAGACCCTCGCGCATTACTTAGAGCATATAAATGTTAAAAGCTGAATCCATTGGCCATTTAAATTGCTTCTATCTATTATTTATTTATTTAACTGATGCATGGAATAATTAATTGTTTATTATTATTATTCATGCATTGGATCTATGATATTTAATTAAATGACTTGATTTATATTAATTAAATTATGAAAATTAATTGGATTTGATTATTAATTAATTTGAGAGCACTTATTAGGAAACGAAAAATTATTTTTGAAAATTATTTTTAAAGTGTGCCTCAAATTAAATATTAGTGAATCGTTTAAAGTCCAAATATTTTCTAAATTTAATTGGATAAAATCAAGACGTTTTGCATGCATTATATCATGTAAATGAATAAAATGAAAACCCTAATTATGAATGATTAAAAATTGAGTGGGAGCGGGGATTTTTATACATTGCCCTATGGCCTTCGTTATTAACACCATTGTAATTAGATCTTCAAAAATAAAGTCCTACGCATGATTTGAAGAGTCTTAATATTACAAGAATGGTGGTCTCATGAAAATAAAAAATATTAAATGTTCATTGTAATTAGATCTTTAAAAATAAGGCCATACGCATGATTTAAAGAGTCTAGATTATAATGACAAGATATTTAATGTTTTATTTTTCATTAGAGCATTAATAACGTTATACACTCAATCTAAAATCAATAGTGTTAGCTCCCCAACGGAGTGGTCTACACCAGGTGATTTTAGAAAGGCTAAACATAATCGGGAATCATTTCATATAGATAGACAAGGCATTGTCTTAAGAGATATGGAGATGATGGAATTTGCCCGCCAATACCAATAATGAACTTCGCCAACCGAATAAGTTATTGGCGTATTGGTTATCCGATTTTTCATGCAGTGGTTAAGGGACCCACATACTATTTTAATAGAAGTGCTCGCCGAATAGTAAATGAATCTCAACAATAGTAATAATGAACTCCTCCAACAGGATAAGTTATTGACATATTGATTGGTTGATTTATTATGTTACAGAGTTGAGGGACCCGCATTAATTAAGAGGGATTATTCACCAATAATGATAATGATCTTTTGTTCGATTGAGATTTATTATATTATGTGGTTAACAAACTCATTTTAATTTTAAATATGCATGACAGTATTAATAATTCACCTTGCATATTGTATGAATGCATTTATATTCAGATTAATTATGTATAATCCAGTTTATCTGCTTGCTTACATATTCAATGTAACTGGACCTCATTTATAATGAATGGAAAAGGAACTTAAATATTTTATTCACAACGTAAGGGTACAAAATGTATTGTATACTCTTATACCTAATTTTTTTACTTTAAGATACTTAATGAGATGTTTTGGTGAGATTAGATAGAGTATATGCCTAAGTACTGTGTCAAATTTAAATATCATCAAGATAGCTTGAGGAACTCCAGTTTTGATATCGGATTTTGAAAAATGATTATTTATTATTTAAAAATTGAACTGGAGGTTAATAGGGCTGACTTGAGTGGTAAGTTTCAAGTTGACATGATTATTGCCTTGTTACCAAACTCGTTCGATTCTGTTAGAGTGAACTAAATAAGGAATCAGTTTGAGTTCACACTCGCTGATATTCTTATAGAATTGGTAACAGATGAAGGGATAATTAACAGTATGGGCGTTCCTATCAATCTAACCCAGTCTATACCATCTTCTTCTAGGCCCAAGTGGACGGGCAAAGCAAAGAAGAAGGATGATAATAGGACTAGGCTAGCACAAAACATGGGTATCCAAAAGGTTAAAGGGAATAAGGCAGTGTATGTTGAGGGCAAGTTAAATTGTTTCTTTTGCTGCTAACGAAGACATTAAAGGACGAACTGTCTAAGCAATGACGTGGTATAGGAAAATATATATTTAATCATTGAGCCATGTTATGTGGTTGTATCTATTAATTCCTGATGGATAGATTCTGGAGCCATTAAACATTTTTGCAATTCGTTGTAAGGATTTCAGGAATCCAGAAGTCTCGATGATATGGAATATATTTGTACTTGACCCGATGACAAGGTTGTAGCTAAGTCAGTGGGAGTATTACATCTGAAATTAAAGAGTATGAGGATATTAGTATTAGAGAACTATCTTTATGCACAGAAGTAAGACGTTATCTAATTCTTGTTTCACTTGTGGTTTATAAAAACTGGATTGTTATTTAATAAAACTGGTTTTATAAAATTGAATAGATATGCGATTGCTTCTAATGCATTGAAAGATGGTTAATGTACTATAATCACAAACTCTTAAGATTTGCATGATGTAGAAACTAATGTTACATATTTTAGATTGAATGTTAAAAGAAAATTTGTTATTCCTGACTCATTGTATTTTTAGTGTCTATTAGTGGGTTGTAATCAATCAAAATGAGATTCAAAAATTGGTCAAAGAAGGTTTATTACCTAGTGAAGCAGAGGGACCTAATCCAAACTTGTGAATCCTGTTTTGAAGGATTATTAACTCTAAGGGCTTATTCAGCCAGATGAAATAGACATAAAGGATAATTGGAGTCGGTACACACAGACACGTGTAGTCTTATGAACATCCAAGCAAGTATACTCACGTTTTGGATAAATTTATCTGATGCGACATGAGTCTTAA